ATGCAGGCATTCGATCCGATCCCTTTTTCTAGTGGGACGACGCCCCTGCCAATATGGCTGCCCGTTTTCACGGCCGCTGTCACGCTCCATGAGGATTGAGGAGCCCCAAACACTTGCCAGGACGCCATATGGCGCTGTACTCCTTAGGTTTTAGTTTTTTTTTTTTTTTTTTTTTTTTTAACTATACCCGTTGGCTTATGCCAACGGTCACATCGTGGCTGAAAGCCACGGCTTCGTCACGCAGACCCAAGCTCGAATCCCGTAGGATTCGATGAAATTTCCCAACCCTTTTTTTTTTTTTTTTTTTTTTTCCCCACCATTTCTCGTTTTATGCGTGTCATTCTTGAGCAGGGGCCATACTCACACGCGCGCGGCCGATCTGGGCCGCGCGATCTTCACGATCGGGCGGTCGGATTCAACCGCGCTGAATTCAAAAAGTAGCGGCTAGCTCCAAAAGGAGTCAGCCTAGCGATATATGCGGTTCTCAGATTCGATCCTGGTACCTACCGGGTGAAAGTCTGGTGCTTTAACCTACTGGGTTGGGTATCGTGATAGGAGCAGCTCTTCTATATGAAGAGCTGGCCCAGCCGCTATCCCTCGTACCAGGGCTTTGCAGGCCCTGCCTGCCTATGGCCTCGCAGGCCCTGCCCGCCTGCCTGCGGCCTTGCAGGCCTTGCCTGCCCGTGGCCCTGCAGACCCTGCCGGCAAGCCTTCCCCGTCGGCTGGGCGCGGGACCCTGGCATTGGCCTAGCAACCCCCTGGCTCGGTGTCAACCCCTGCAGTCCTGGCAAATCAACTTTTCCCCATTCCCCTTACGTCGCGGCCCTATACCCGACGCATCCATCTTTTTAGCCTATTCAGACCCTGAATCGCGCGGCTTACCAGCCGTGCGACTTTATTTTAGGTACAATAGGTTTAGTCTTACCTTCCTATGTCCGCACATACCCGCGGCTTCGACAAAAGCTAAGCATTACCCTTCACATCCGTTACTCCTGGCCGCCACACGTGTTCGGACTCTGTCTCTTATACACATCTAGATGTGTATAAGAGACAGCCCCTGCACCGCCACCAAAATCTCAGTGACGCCGCCACAAAAAAATTGGCAACACTTCCGCGTTGCCGCCTAAAATGCACTGCCGCCGCCGTGCAAAACGGGCAGAGCCTCCCCTGCACCGCTTGCCGAAGACCTGCCGCCGCCGTGCCAAACGGGCAGAACCTCCCCTGCACCGCTTGCCGAAGAATTGCAGCGAACAACACCACCTCNCTGCCGGCAAGCCTTCCCCGTCGGCTGGGCGCGGGACCCTGGCATTGGCCTAGCAACCCCCTGGCTCGGTGTCAACCCCTGCAGTCCTGGCAAATCAACTTTTCCCCATTCCCCTTACGTCGCGGCCCTATACCCGACGCATCCATCTTTTTAGCCTATTCAGACCCTGAATCGCGCGGCTTACCAGCCGTGCGACTTTATTTTAGGTACAATAGGTTTAGTCTTACCTTCCTATGTCCGCACATACCCGCGGCTTCGACAAAAGCTAAGCATTACCCTTCACATCCGTTACTCCTGGCCGCCACACGTGTTCGGACTGACGTCCGAAAACTTTTTTGTCCGTGTGTCCTAGGTCAGGTCCGAATAAACATTGGCAACGTTAGTCTTATCAAGTCCTTCAATTCAACGAGAAGGTCGGATAGCGTCCGACGTTGAAAAACCCCGACAAATACCCTTGTAAAGGTATTTGCCCCGACAGCGCTACCGCCCCTGGCGTGGTCTATCAGTCTTTCTTTCACATTTCGAGAGTGGTGTGGCGACGCCCAGAGTCAAGCGAGGTCGATAGATGGTGGTGGAGGAGGGAGGAGTGAGAAAAGGGCCACCTCACCTGTCCTGCTCCTCGCTCCCGCTTGGCTGCGCTCCCGCCCCCTGGCCGGTACACAGTGAAAAGACCCGCTCCAAACGGCCTATTGGCAAAAAAAGAAAAGCAGAAGAAAAAGGGGCGTTAAGGGGCGTAGAGCAGAGTCTCTGGTTGGACGAGGGATCTCAGCGGCAAATCTACTTCAGTCTGCGGTTCAGAATTGGAACCTCACCTTGGCTCTTGAATGGGGCCCAGAAGTGGGGCTAGCTCGGATGGCACTGCTCCATGATGAGTACTCTTTGTTATATATGGATAGGCCTAGAGTACTCATTACACTTTGTTTTTCCACTTCGCCGCTTGCCGCACACGCCGGGCCGAGTGGCACGTCCCTGCATGGTGAGCGACAAGCTGTGAGTTTTCACTTGGAGGTTTTTTCCCCTCCCACGAGGAAAACGTTACTTTTCAAGGCTGATAGAGGTAACTACCCAAAACCAGGGCCAAAGAAAAAAGGGGCAAGAGAAAGGAAAGGGGGTGGGTGGCGAGGGATACTATTTAAAGTATGATCGAGAGTAGGAAGATCTCTTACCCGCAGTCTTCGGTGGGCGGAAGTCTGGACGACGGAAAAACGCTGATGATGTGTTAGTTGTCGGGCAGCGCTCACAACAAGAGCTAGGCCTTGGGAATGGTTAAAACTACCGCCTTATTTGGGCAGAAGTCCGACTTGGTTCACGCTCAGGAGTCTAGGTTAGAAACGTCGGGAGGGAAGGGGGTGTTGACCGAAGGGGACCGCCGAGGTTGGGGCTCTTTGAGCGGAGCCACCGTCCGAAATTGATGAAGAGTTCGAATCCAAGCTAGTAGTAAGTCGGGGCCGAAATTGGAAGGCGAAGTAGGAATGCCGCTAGAGGAATCGCAGCGAAATTTACCCGGTTTGACCTAGGCGAAACGTCGGGTAGGATCGGTCTTCGAAGTTGAAGGCAACAGACTCGTGGAAGGCAGTAGTATTAGGTATTTGAAGCGCGCGAGTGGCGGAAGTAGTCTTTCGAAAGGGGACGGTGGGCAGCCGTCTTCGGCCGGCCGCGAGACGCGAGGAAGGAAGGGTTACCTTCCACCAAGCGGAGAAGAGGAAGATTCGGCTATGGAGTAGATGCGCGGGTAAGGTGCGGGAGAGGAAGGGAGAAGGTAAAGTGGGAGGGGAGGGGTCAAAGCGTGGGTACCTCTTTGCAGTTCGAATCATAGTAGGCGCTATCCGTGCGCATTCTATCTGAAGTCGAGAGGTAGGCTCGAGATGGAGAAGGAATGCAATAGGTAAGGCAAAGAGTAGTTTCATATCGAAGTTGTTTGGTTGAATCGCAGTAAGTTCTCGTGCAAGTTTTGGGATGAAAGGATCTGATCTCCGAATTCCGACCCACCTCGCTCACCGAATTATCCCTTCCGATTTAAGAAAAGGATGATCGATGGTGAATGACTTTTGACCTTCTTTACAGATGACTTTGCAATAACTGAGCTATCCAATTCAGCGCGGTAAGAAAGATGGGAAGTCGATAATCCGGTGATCCGATCTGCACTATTAGCGTAAAAAAAAATAAAAAAAAAATGATTCGAGAAGGCGCGTGATAAAAGTTGTAAAGTTAGAACTCATATTTTAGTGTTTTGCTTTGCGCATTTCGTTCGAGGCGCGAGAGGGAGATGGGTAGTAGGATTAATGACAATCTCTTCCTTTCTTTTTTCTTATTGTATGGCGAGTTGATGACAACTCCTTTTGCCTTCTCTCTCTCACTCCTAATGATAATTCCTTTGCTTACTCTCTCTCCTGATGATTCGCTATTGGTGAGAGCGCAAGAGGTTAGGGCACTATTTGCGCTAAAGGAGAGGTTCGGAGAGTGCGCCGGAACTAAGCAGGAGGATTGATCTTACGACTTTATCGAATAACTAGAGGAGAGTTGAGCACTTGATATCTCAACGGTTTTCACTTCCGATTGACAAATTTGTTTTGCAAAGTTTACTTATCTCCTTAGTTCATTCTTTGATCTGATCGCACTTGCTATTTCAACACCTCCTCATTGGCGAATTCGCTTTTTCGCAAAGCTCGGTGACCTCTTTTGAATTCATCTATTCTTTACGTACTCGCTATTTTACGCCTTCGATTTCGATTGGCGAGATCGTTTTGATTCGCTCGGTCATCTCTTTTCAATTCGTCCATTCTTTGATCTAGTCGGATCTTGTCAGATCTCACTTTGCGTGAATGGGCTCTCGGTTGATTTATCGGATTCTTTTGAAGGAAAGGTTCAGGTAATTTTTGACCAGACAAGAGGGAGTGGATTGACTTAGTCAAGATGATGATGGGACTTGCCTTCGCTGTGGGAGGGGGGGTTGGAGACTGGAGCACAGTTGTGCCAAGATCGCATGTCGATGTTTATGGGGACGATGCCGGTGAGATTCTGTTGAGAGATTGGGGTGATATGAGTATGGTCAAAAGTGGGATGATCTCGAATCTTGAATTTGAGGAGTATCTGTCCAACCTACGGATCCTAAATAGAATTGAAGGAACTCTTTTGCCGCTCGAAAGAGCGAACATTTTTTTACAATTGGGGAAGAGAAAAGATGCGTGGGAGTTTCGAGAGATAACATAGGTTGAAGACGGAGGAAGGACTCAAGGTTCAGACTGAATTCTTCGATCGAAGCTCCTTTTGTACCATCGAGAGGTTAAGCGACAAAGGAAAGATTAGAGTAATTGAGAAGGTGGTAGTGGAAAAAATGATTGATCATTGGATTCTAGGGGAACTGATTGCCAGATTTGTTGTCAGCAGAATGTTCAGAAGGGCAATTGACCTACTTGACGAAGCAAAATTGGGAATTGTGAAGGAAGCTTGTGATTTGGAAGCGCGAAGTTGGAAGGGAAGAGGGAGGTGGGAATTTGCAGCACTGGGAATGGTCATCGCTTTTGCTGGCGAATCGAAGGGTGAGTTGGTCTCGAGCATTCTCAAGGGATGGGAGTCGGAGGAATGGGAAGGATATGGTTTTCCCCGAACAAGGGAACTCACGGCAATAACGTTGAAGTATGCTTCAAGAGAGGATAGGAGGAAGCTGCAGTTGAATAACCTTTTCAAATTTGGCGAAGGAGCCTGGGTGACAAGCTTGGGATGTTCAAAGGCTGGGAATTGATTTCGGAACTATCTTTGCAAGCAGAGGGGGGGGAACCTTGAACCTGGCTATCTCATGGCGATCCATTACCAAGAATCCTTCTCAGATTCTTCGCCCAGTATTTATTCCTCTTGCATCCAAAATCGAAGACGCGAATTGAAGCGAAGAAATTGGGCGGGGAAAGAGGCCGAGTCAGGAGCAAGTCCGCTCGCCCCCTCGGAGGATGAGTCCTCCCAATTCGCTCCCTGAATCGGGTTGTTTCTTAGATATGACCTGAATCTCGTACTTGCAGATCGTTATTATTGTCATCTGCATGTTCACTCCTAGAACTTAACGCAATCTGCCAATAATCTTTTTTCAGTTTTTGTTAGGTCTGATTTTAAAGTTGCAATTGAGTAAGCATAGACCGACACCGCAAGATCTTCGGGCAGGATTTCAATCACCTCTTCAAGAGACGAGGAGAGTT